TTAATATAGGGTTCAACTATGATTAGACTTCGGACCATCCATGATATCTGCGATTAAACTAATGTTACCCAATGCAATTAAAATTCACACGCACTGATTTTACCATCTGTATGTTACCTTCATGGCAGCGGGAAATTTTGTTACATTCCCTCACAAGTGCTCTGCTCCCATTACAATGTTCCCCGCCATATGCTGGTTTTGGATTGGAACATTCTCTAAACCTTATCTGTATGCCACTGACTGTTTTAGTGCAAATACTCCAGGGACTCCACCCATTCCAACCACCATTGACTAAACATGTTTCAAGAACAAGCAGTTAGGAAAGAACTTTAAACTTTACCTTTGGAAGCCTACGGATATTGCAAATTGCATTCACACATATTGCTAATTCATTCAATATTTTGACCGTTTCAAATAAGAATAAGGCATGAAAGAAACTTTACAAAACCTAAATACCAGCATATGGTAGAAACCTTACAGCCACTAAACATTGATATCTACATTGATATCTACATTGATATTGCAAATTGCATGTGTATATAATGCTGATTCATTCAACCTTTTGAGCAAAGCAAATAAAGATAAGGCATGAACAGAACTTTACCAAATCTAAATAGTAGCTTATGGTAAAAACCTTGCAACTACTAAACATTGATATCTAAAAAACTATGTAAATTAAATTAAAGGTGCATAGAGCACCTGGAACCAGCAAAATTAACAATCAAAATGATAAAAGATTGTTGGTTTTACACTGATTACACACTCTTACCTGGACAATGATTGGTGTTGCAAGATTGATTCATGCGACTAGGTCCATGACACCGCTCTCCACCCCAATCTCGGGGAGGATTTGTACAATTGCGCATTCGGCTCTGCGATCCACCACCACAAGTTAGGCTGCACCTCTCCCATGGCTCCCAGGATGACCAGCTACCATTACCTATATTTATATCAGAAATTTATATGATTGACAAGTTAAAGTGACTCTAAATAGAAGAAGTGCCTGCCACTATCGCAAATTGCATGTAAAACAGCATTGCCCATTCATTCAAGTTTTTGATATCGTATCGAAGAGGTAGCAGAATACTTGATAGAAAACTGAATAAAAGTGAGGAGATTCAATGTAAAAACAACCTTTTGAAAGTAAAATGAATTCACCATCCTAAGGATGCTCATTAAATATCATGTAAACAATTGATGTAAATCATCAAAAAAGCCAGGCTGATATTTTGAATCGATTCCATTCTTGTCAGATAGCATTAATGTAAAAGGAAATCAGGTTATTTTTGTATTCTTAAAGTAGTCACTTTCGTGCACCAAAGAATATATAGAGGATTTAAATGATAATAAATATAATGTGATATAATGTAAAGAAACCTCCTTTTTCTTATATAAATGATGAGATTAATTTGAAATCACTTGTGATCCATGCCTTCTGATTGGCTGTCATGGGCGGGATGAACTTTATAGGATTAATTAATTATAAGGATATTATTAGAACTTTATCGATACTCCATATAACGGTAGCTATTGCACCATTACCTCATGAAAAGGAACAAGCCAAGTTCTCATTAACTATTATGTAAAGTATGAAGACACTTACGATCTGATTCGTTCCACAAAATCCAGATGAAAAGTAAAAGGATAGTATTAATTGTGAAAAGAAAGTAGTTATCTGAGGGATTAATTTTATTCATATTCGTCCTAAAGAAATATCAGAATCCTAGATAGAATTCTCAATTAAAGTAGGAAGATTTAATTAAAATAATAATAATAAAAATCTTTTGAAAGTAAAATGAAATCAAGTTATTTTTGTATTATTAAAGTAGTCACTTCCGCTCACCAAAGAATATAAGAGGACTTAAATGATAATAATAAATATGATGTGATATATTGTTAAGAAAACTCCTTTTTCTTATATCAATAATGATATTAATTTGAAATCACTGGCGATCCATGCCTTCTGATTGGCTCTCATGGGTGTGCTGAACTTTATAGGATTGATCAGTTATGGGGATGTTATTAGAACTGTATCGATACTCCATATAACGGTAGTTACTGTACCATAACCTCATGAAAAGGAACAAGGCAAGTTCTTATTAACCATTATGTAAAGTATGAAGACACTTACGAGCTGATTTATTCCACAAAATCCGCATGAAAAGTAAAAGGATAGTATTAATTGTGAAAAGAGAGTAGTTATCTGAGGGAT